TTTGCAGGAAAGATCCTCCTTCCCTGTGGATTCGATCCCTAAGTACTACAATCGATCAGTTGTGCACTTGCGGCTATTGATTTCATTTAGGGTAAAACTTGACAACCCTCACGACAGCACACATCAGACATCAACAAATTGATTTTCAGAAATGTTTGCAGTGTTGGTATCTCCAGCACGTCCTTTCTTTTTATGGACATAGTGTTTAGCCTTATGTCCAGGCTTTCCACACACCTAACATGCCCATTGAGTCTTCTTCTTGCAGTAAGAATCCTTTGGGCATTAAAAGATTTCTTAACCTTTCTTGTTATTTCTTGAACCCCTGAATTTTTAGTTACCGCCCTCAATGACATTGGCTTTTGCTTCCATATAAAATATATCAGATTTTTCATTTCTTGAACCCCTGAATTTTTTCTTCCGTTTTGCAGGACTTTGCTGATGTATTTCTGGAGAACGACCCAGGCAGGTTGCCATCAATCCGAGGGATCGAACATCAGATCGATTTCGTGCCTGGTGCCTCGCTGCCAAACCGTCCTGCTTACCGAACCAATCCGGTGGAGAATAAGGTTGATTTGAAAAGTGGATATCACCAAATCCGAATGAAGGAAGGTGATGAATGGAAAACGGCTTTCAAAACTAAGCACAGTGTTTATGAGTGGCTAGTCATGCCCTTTGGTCTTACCAATGCACCTAGTACTTTCATGCGCCTCATGAACCATGTCCTTAGGTCTTTTATAGGTGTTTTCGTTGTAGTTTACTTCGATGACATTTTGATTTATTGCAAGTCCTTAGAGGAACACGTTTTGCATTTGAGAAAGGTGTTAGATGTGCTTAGAAAAGAACGGCTGTTTGGTAGTTTCAAGAAATCCTCTTTTTGTACGGATAACGTTGTCTTTTTAGGCTTTGTTGTGAGCTCGCAGGGCATTCATTTCGGTGATGAAAAGATCAAGACCACACTTTGGGCATCTTTGAACATTGTAGGCCACCAAAAACCTGATTGGAGAACCTTTGGCACCGTTTTAAAAGATCCCAAGTGTCCACCATAGGCTGAATAGTAACATTCTTGTAGAACAGGCTGGACCTCCTCTTCAGCGAGACATCTCTTTTACAAATGATCTTTGTTGAGTACATACAAGTATGGCTCATTCCAATGGTATCTTCTCACATCTTTGAAGAATTTCTTCCTTTGATAAGCATCCAATTCTGGTGGCTCCATACCGCAAGAGAGATAGTTGACAATGTCTGTAAACCATGGTAATCTCCTTTCTCTGATGGTATTGGCTTGTTCAACCTCCAAGTAAGACTTGATCACCATTAGATGCTCCTCAGTTAATGAATCATCTAAAGGGATATCAGAATCCACTCTTAACCTTGAAAGATGATCAGCTGCTCCATTTTTAATGCCTTTCTTGTCTTGCACTTCCATGTCAAACTCTTGTAAGAGAAGAACCCATCTGAAGAGCCTTGGTTTTGCATCCTTATTTGTCATCAGACATCTGAGAGCTGCATGATCAGTGTAGACCACAAATTTTGAACCCACCAAGTAGCTCCTGAATTTATCAGAGGCGAATACTATAGCAAGCATCTCCTATTCAGTTGTAGCATACTTTTCTTGAGCAAAGTCCAAAGTTCAGCTTGCATAGTATATGACATGCAGCTTCTTATCCTTCTTCTGACCCAAAACAGCTCCCACAGCGTAATCTGATGCATCGATCATCACTTCAAAGGGCAAAGTCCAATCTAGAGCATGGACTATTGGTGCACTAACAAGAGCTTCTTTGATATTTAGAAAGGCTTCCATGCACTCCTCATCAAACACAAACTCAACTTCCTTGCAAAGCAACCTTGTTAAAGGCCTAGCTATCTTAGAAAAGTCTTTGATGAACCTTCTATAGAAGCCGGCGTGCCCAAATAAGCTTATGATCCCCTTTACCGAGCTCTGAGCTTCCAAGTTAACCATCACCTCTACTTTGGCTTTATCACCCTCAATACCCACCTCAGAAACCTTGTACCCAAGCACAATACCCTCTTGCACCATAAAATGGCATTTTTCCCAATTGAGAACCAAGATGTGCTCCTCACACCTCCTTAAGACCTGAGAAAGATTAGAAAGACAAACAGAGAAGGAGGATCCATAGACTGAAAAGTCGTCCATGAATACCTTAGCTTTCTCTTCAATCAGATCCGAAAAGATGGACATCATACAACGTTGGAATGTAACAGGTGCATTGCACAGCCCAAATAGCATGCGCTTATAAGCAAAGGTCACATAGGGACAGGTAAATGTGGTCTTATCCTGGTCTCTTAGGTCTATTGGTATCTGAAAGAACCTAGAGTAACCATCTAGAAAACAAAAGATGGGATGATTAGCAAGCCTTTCTAACATTTGGTCAATAAAAGTAAGAGGGAAATGATCTTTCCTAGAGGCTGCTTTCAATTTTCTGTAATCTATACACATCCTATGACATGTGATGGTTCTTGTTGCTATCAACTCATCCCTTTCATTTTTGATCACTGTCATTTCACCCTTTTTGGACACCACATGTACTGGTGAAACCCATCTAGAGTCTGAGATAGGATATATGATCCCAGCCTCTAGGAGTTTTAGAATTTATTTTTTCACTACTTATTTCAAGTTAGGATTTAGCCTCCTTTGGTGCTCAATGGATGACATAGATTCCTCTTCAAGGTGAATCCTATAAGTGCATAGGTTGGGTGAGATACCCTTTATGTCATCCAATGAGTAACCAATGGCTCTCCTATGCTTTCTCAACTCATCTAGAAATGCACTTTCTTGATCAGCTAACAACTTATCATTAATGATAACAGGGTATGAAGTGTTAGAGCCTAGAAATTTATACCTCAGCCCTGTTGGTAGAGGCTTGAGCTCAACAGGGGGCGCCTTGGACTCATCCCAGTCTGCATCAAAGCTGCTTTGCTCAGCTGAAGCTCCATTGGTGTTGATTTGCTAAAGCGGCCCAACCCTTTCCTCAGCTAATGAACCCACGGCCATGCATCCCTGAGCTGGTCCCTGACTTGTATTTGAAACCCTGATGTCTAGAATCTCAAGCCCTCTTGCTTCTAGCTCCAAAAACCTTGTTTCTGAATCAAGTTCCTTGGGCTGATCCAAATACCGCTTGTAGGCTTAACTCTCTTCAGCCAAATACCCATGTTCACCTTGTTCCTTTTTCAAAAGGATCCTCTGTGTTCAACTTCTCAAAAGCTCATCAGCAAGCTCCTCCATTGTTTAGTTGTCCACCAATTTTTGGCTTGTTCATCATTATTTCACATCGAACTTCATGGTTTCTGATCCAATTTGCAGCTCTATCATACCTCCTCTAACATCTATGATTGCTCCTGCTGTGGCTAAGAAAGGCCTTCCCAGAATGAGAGGATCAACAGGTTCCTCATCCATCTCCAAGACTATAAAGTCTTTTGGGATCTCAATCTCACCAATTTTAAGAGGCAAATCTTCAATTGGTAACCTTACTGACCTATCAGCAAATACTAGAGAGATCCTTGCTGGCTTGTAGCTGTTGTACCCTAACCTTTTTGCAATAGAATAGGGCATCAAGCTTACTGAAGCTCCCAAATCACACAAACAGCTAGCAAACTTTAAAGGACCTATAGTGCATGGTAATGTAAAGCTCCCTGGATCTGATAGCTTCCTAGGGATGGTCTTCCTTTGAATAATTGCACTACACTCATGACTCAGAATAACCATTCCTTGTAGCTCATTGGTTTTGTTCAAAATGGCATCTTTTAAGAACTTCCCAAGCTGTGGAACCATAAGAAATGCTTCTATGATGGGCATAGTCATCTTAGTATTCTGTAGATGCTTCTCAAAGACTGCTCTTGCCTTATCTAAGATCTGCTTCTTAAACCTCCCTGAAAATGGAAGTTTAGGCTGATATGGTGGTGGTGGAGCATAAGGTTTCTAAGGTACTATCGGTTGTTCCTCCTCTTTGTTCTCATTACTATTGACAACTTGATCTTCTTTCTCGCTCTCTTGGGCTGCCTCCCCACCAACTTGCTCATTGTCCTCAATGAGCACTTGTCTAGGCTCTCTTTCTGGTAACTCTTTTCCACTTCTAAGAGTTATAGCATTGCAATACTCTTTGGGATTAGGCTCAGGTTTACCAGGTAAAGTGCTTTGGTTTCTTGAGGTGGAGGCTTGATTCTGCCTTAACTCCTTGATCTCTTGTCGCATGGCAGCATATTTTCAACCCAAGTCTTAAAAACCACTCTCAACTCGCTGCTGATCCTGTAGAAGCTGTTGCAACACCCCACATAACTCAGACCCCATCTGTTGACCTTGAACCTGCGGCTGCTGACCCAACTGATGCTGAACCATCGGCTGCTGACTGATACCCGGCGGGTACTTTTGTTGCTGAGGCTAACTAGTGAAGTTGGTACTCTGAACCGGTTTTTGTTGCTGCCCATAGCTTTGTTGCTGCTGAGCATACTGTTGTTTAGGTTGAAAGTTCCCTTGATAGTTGTTTTTTCGGAACATAACTCTGCTGACCCTGAGGAAGAGGATACAGATGATCTTGTCGATTAGCCACATTGGGGTTCCTATATGAGAGGTTTTGGTTTGAGTTGAAGTTGTTTAACCTCTGATATCTATTCTGGTTCCCAATGTAGTTGATCTCTTCTTGAGTGAGGCCATCTTCATTGACATTTTCAAAACTTGGACCTTGATCATCAAACTTGCCTACAAAGTGTAATGGCTTTTTTGTTGCCACTAGAACCTTGTCAAGCTTTTTTTGAAGCTCTCTAATGTCCTTCTCCATCCGCAGCTCTTTGCTAGATCCCTCACTTCTATTTTTCCGGTCAAATTCTTCCCCATAAGTGTCATTACTCATGGCTAGATTCTCCACCAATTCCAATACAGCATTGATCTCCTTCCCCAGAAATTTCCATTTGAGGCTGTGTCTAATTGTTTTCTAATCTTGGGGACAGCTCCCCTATACAGTGTACCCAAAATAGAGGCTTCTGAAAAGCCATGATGTGGACAATGATTGGTGTAGCTTCTAAACCGCTCCCAAGCTTCTAAAAAGCTTTCATTGCTGTGCTGAGTGAAACTTGAAATATGATTTCACAGCTTTGCAGTCCTTGATGTTGAGAAGAACTTTGACAAGAATGCAAGCTTGCATTCCTCCCAAGTTTGTATTGTTCATCTAGGCAGATTCTTTTCCCACTGATGCGCCTTGTCTCCCAAGCTGAAGGGAAACAATCTAAGTTTGAAACTGTCCTCAGAAACACCATTGATCTTTGTTAGATTACATACTCTGTTAGATTGATCTAAATGCTCCAAGGGATCTTCCATTAGCAGACCATGGAACTTAGAGTTCAGCACCATGTTGAGCAAAGAAGCTTTCACTTCAAAGTTGTTATTTTGAACCAGTGGAGCTTGAATCCCTGCTCAGTACTGGTGTGCATTTGCTCTATCGTTCTCACCAACAAAGACTGGTGGAGCTTCTGGTCGCCTTGGAGCTTATGGCTGAGGCTGAGGAATTTTTTGAGCCTGCAGCTCATTGCGGTTAGCTTGTTGTTGATTCTGCTGTGCTTGGCGTTCATTCCTTTGCGCCATGTTCTGATTAACAAAAGCTTGCTGCTCGTTCCTCTCAGCCTGTGCCTGGTTAAGTGAGCCTGATTCTTGGCTTCTTGAGCCTGTCTCTCAATCCTGTTTTGTTCATCCATTCCCAACCATTCCAATTGCGCAGCCCTATCTCTAGCTCTCTTTTCTATCAGGTTTATATTGTTTTGTAAGGAAGAGGAGGCTCTGAACTTCTAGAGCGTGTTCTCATACACCTGATCACTCAAAGACAAAGCTCAAGAACTGATCAGTAAAACAAAAAAATAAAAACTTGATCTCAAGAACAAAGCAAAAACTAATGCTAAATCCCCACAAGTTGGCAACGGCGCCAATTGATAACTAAGGTTTCTAGGCCTTTAGATGGAGTTATCAATCCCTTTTCTTTGTAATACAAAGGTATAAATCGATCTTGTCGGTTCTAGACACTAGCTTATATGCAAAGATTCTTAATTCAAGCAAGACAAGGGAGTTTTTGGTTCCAAACTAGTAACAAGACAAGCAAATAATCTAAACAGAGTTTAAACAAGATTAAGATGCAACTAAATAAGTAAAGCAAGATAAGCGGTTATGAATATGATATGATGATGCAAAGGCCTTAGACAGGATATTGAATTAGGGTGCTTTAACACTAGACTAGAAAGCTAATGAACAAACAATCAAGCAAATCCATTTAACATAAACTCATTAAGCAAGATAATCCTCTCATGAAGGCATTAAACTTCTATGCTAATCCTCTTTCATACCAAATTTCCATTTGAGAAGCATGAATTAACAAGCATTAAGAATCAGTTTAATAAGTCATTTAAGTGATCAAACTATCATTATCATGTTGAAAGACACTTAAACCTCTAACAAACTTGGTTCAGGCATTTCAACAAACACTTTTGGTGCATGAAAGTGCCTTTGATCTAGACCACAAGTGATGTGAAAGGATCTAGCATAGAGAACATTTTGTAGAGAATGGATAATGCAAGATCTAGCTCTTAAACTCTCTAATCTAACAGTTCAGCAGCCTAATCTATAAGACCTTATAAGGGAACTACTCACTAATCATGGATAACACACTTGATCTTTTGCAAGAAGTGATGTTAAGCATGATTAGAAGCTTGATTTGATGAAAAGAAATGATGAGAACAAGAATTTTATGATGTAAAACGAGATATCTCTTATAAAGCAGCAAGTTTTACACCAAAGAGGCAAGTTCTCTAAAAGGATAAAGTATATCTAGGGTTTTTAGTCCCTAAAACTATTTATAGTGAAGCTACGTGACCCGTGTCAGCCTGGAACAAACCGGGTACTGAACCGGTCTTCTTGGACAGATGTGTGAGCCCCTTGGTGTGTGAGAGTCCAAAGCCAAGGTGTTGAAGCCGAGGGGTGCATGTAAACCAGGATTGAAATGAAGAATTCACCAAGAACATGCATGAACCCTAGTCTTTGATCCATCTTCATGTGTGACCGTTAGAGCATCTTGTTCTTGATCTGGGCTCGTGAAAAGGTACCATTGGTGTTGCTACGTCAAGGACTCAGGTCAAGGTTTGGTGCATTTTATTCAGTAACATTGCACCTCGGTGTAGACAAGCCGTGGAGTTAGCTCAAGGTTTTGATCCTCTTTTTTCGGCAAGAAATCACCTTGGTGTGTGCATACCAAGGGGCTTTGGTTGAGGGGGTTATGTAGGAAGAGTCTGAGGTGAAATGTCGTGGGGTTGAAGACGAAGTCCAGTTTCACACTTAGACAGAATTCAGATCAAACCGCATAGATACCTAGCTCAACACTTAGTCGTTTTCAGACTAGTTCCTTTAACAAGCACACCTCGGTGTTGCATGACCGAGGAGTCAGCTCGAGGTTTAGACCAAAAAGCTTCGGAAATAGGCCCTGGTGTAAAAAAATGTCAAGGGCACAACACCGAGGCCTGCCAAAAACACTTAGCACCAGGCATATCTCTCAAAAGCCTGTACCGACCCGCTTGTCTCCTGATCCCAATAACTCTCAGCTCATAACTCCAAATGACTTGAAGCCAGATCCTCCTGAAAGACCACTCAACCAGATCTAACTTTGGTGAAAGACCCATTAGCATCCAAGGAGTGGAAGGTTCCTCGGACGGTCAATCTTTGGCGTGTATCGGTGTAAACAAGTTTTAGCCAAGAGTAAGGAAAATGTACCGCGGTAAGGAAAATGGTCAATAATCTCTTCCCGCAGTAAGATTTTTAGCTGACAAATCTCATCCTTCTTGGCATAAAGTTTTAGCTGAGAAAACTCAGGTCCGGTACAGCATTTGGCTGAGAAAAATCCACCCGACAACATTTTTAGCCGAGATTCTCCTTCCTGCGGTGCATGATCTTGCCGATAAAGTCCTTTAGGCCATATTCACCATTTCTGACCCTTTTCTCCACCATTTCAACTCCTGGTCACATCTCTTATGTTCCAACGGCCTCAAAAGTACCTGCTTATGACTCCAAACCATGCAAAGACTCATTGGGACCTAATGCAAACCTTAAGTCCTAAAACAAAGCTTAAAGACCTAAAATGTATGAAACAAGACATGATTTGGACATAAAAATACAACCTAAATGATGCAATTTATGAACATATCATACTGCCACCGAGAAACTCAGGCGATCTAAGTCCTATGCCGCAATGGTTCAACGCAGGACAAAGGTATATTTCGTTATGATCCCTTCTCCTTTCTTTTTCCTTGGAGTTTTGTTGAATTCTCAACATTCCGAGGCTTGTTTCTGTTTTTTTTTTTAAGTTCTACATGGCCATTTGATATGTTCATAATTTGCATCATTTAGGTTGTATATTTCATTCCAAATCATGTTATTTCTCATGCATATTAGGTCCTTAGGTGTTGTTTTAGGACTTAGGAGTTGCATTAGGTCCCAATGAGTCTTTGCATGTTTGGAGTGTTTATCAGGTGTATTTGGAGCTATTTGGAGTTGAAAAGGTGAAATCAGGAAGAGAAACGGTGATCAGAGCTTGAAAGATGGTGAAAATGGGTCTTTGGAGGTTCTCGGTGATTCTCGCGTACCGCAGGCAACTTTTCTCGGCGGTTTTTCACATACCGCGAGTGGGCCTCTCGGCCAAAACGCGTACCGCTGCTAAGGTTTCTCGGCCAAAATTTCTGGGTACAGACACATCTCAGAAATCACGCTACCGGAAGGTCTTGCCGGTCGATTCAGCTGTCGGGTGCTTCATCAAAGTTGGAGAAGATTGGATCATGGTTCCAGAGAAGGTAGAATCATAGGATTTGGAGGCGTGAGCAGAGAGTTAAGCTCACCGGAAGGCATGCCTGTCTCGCTACCGTTTTGGACCGACCCGATGAGCTCCGAAGATTGCAAAGAACGATGCACTTCGAGATCGATTCAGTCTACAGAACCTTCATCAAGGTTCGAGATATTTGGGTTATCTTTCCAGAACGTGTGAGATCATTCAATTTGGAGCTATGAGCAAGGAGTTAACGTTTCCGGAATGGACGCATGTCTAGAAGCCTCTTTCTGACTGTGTCAATATACTGCGAAGATGAGTCCTCCAGGGAACATTCCACTTCCCAAGCGCCGAAGGTTCCTTCACTAAAGTTGAAGATATCTGAGTGCTCTTTCCACTGAAGTTGGAATCAAGCCGTTCGGATCTATATTCCGAGAGTTACTCACCCCCGAATGTTAAGTGGTCCGAAGAGATCTGAAGGCTGCGAGATAGTCTTGCGACTTGGTTAATTTGCAATGCCTGGAGATTAATGTCTGGGGATTGAGCTGCGTGTTGAGATGTGCAAGTAAGGTAACACTGGGTAAGGTCAAAGGTTCCCGAGCAAGAAAAATACTAAGTCCACAAGCATGCGATTTGAGCATGCGAGTTGGCCAAGCTTGGAACTGAGCCGCATGAAGACTCGCAATTTACACCGACTTGAGCATGTGACTCGGGAGTGATGAAGACCATCGTGCACATATTTCTGAAGGCCCCTGCCACATGGTCGTGCGAGTTAAGGAGCAAAGAGGACTGAGCCGCATGAAGATTCGCGTTTTACACTGAGAGAGTAATGCGGCTGGGCTTACATAGATTCTATATCGCTGAAGCTTCTTTCTAGGATCATGCGAGTTGGGCATGCGACTTGGGACTAAAGGAGGACCAAGTCGCACACATATTCTCCCCATATTTCGTCTTGGTCATGCGAGTTGAAGAAGAGGAAGACTGAATCGCACAAAGACTTGCAGAACACACCTAGATGGGCATGCCGCTGAAACTAAAGGACTTAAGGCTCACAAGACTGCTTCTTTGGCTGTGCGACTTGGGCATGCGACTTGGGAAGCTCCTGACCAACTCGCACACTCGTCATTTTACCCATTAAAGCCGGGTCAGGGCCCGTTTTTTTCCGGGCTGACCCGGTTCGTTTTAAAACCTATATATAGTTTTTAGGGTTTTACCCCAAGGACTTAAGCTTTATTCCTCATTTTCTTTGCCTCTTTTGTGTAAGAAAACTCATTTTGAAGAGAAATATCTGATTTTAGGCGTT